GCTCAGAAGGGAAATCGGTCTGTAGTTCTTCAAGAGAGCGTTGTCGCCTTTCTAGAAGAACAAGACCACCGCACTTCTGCTCCACGCCTCCGGTGTAATGCCACCATGGAGGACGGAATTAAAGAGCTTCTGAAGGACTTCAAGTACCGGTTTTCCACCCGCTTTCAGAAGCTCCGCTGTAATTCCATCCTCGCCTGGGGCCTTGCCGTTTTTAAGGTGCTGGAGAGCCATTCTAATCTCGCTCAGACTGACGTCCGGGATATCATCGGAATAATGTCGGATAAGACTCGCTCTTGGATCGTTACTCACACTTGCGTGCGGCTCCAACGATGACGTGTACAGCTGCCCATAGAACCTCTCAATCTCACTCAAAATCTCAGATGCCCCGGAAACGATGCTGCCACACTCTGTCTTTAGCTTTGACAGTTGGCGCTTTCTGGCAGACAGATCTCTGACAAAGACTTTGGAGCCTTGGTTCCGCTCGATCGCTTCTTCAATACGAGCTGTATTGAAGTTGCGTAAGTCCCGCCGCATACATTTGGAGATCTGTCTGTTCAGTTGCCTGTATGCTGTTAAATCTGTTGAAGAATGTAGCTTCATCTCCCGTCTAACAGCCATGAGATTAAGAGTGTGATCGGAGAGTTTTTGTGTTCTTCTGCGGCGGGTCTTGCAGAACTTAGCTCCGACCGCATGGACAGTTTCCACGAGCTTGTCATTCAAATCGTCCACTTCATTGCAGTCTTCTAGGCACTGAAAACGGTTTTGTAACTCGAGCTGAAAGGTTTCGGGACTTTGGATTAGAGCACGAGGGGGACGGAGCGTTGACTTCATTAGACGAGACCTCTCCAACTTAACGTTTAGGTTCAGTGTGCCTCTAACCATTCGGTGATCGCTGCCGGTTTTCACCCTCGTGATCACTGAGACATCACTGAACAGTTGTCGTCTGGTCGTCATAATGAAGTCAATCTCATTTTTTGTCGAACCGTCGGGGCTCGACCAGGTCCACTTCCTGTGGGGCCGCTTCTGGAAGAAAGAGTTCATCATAAAGAGTCCCTCTTTCTCCATGAAGTCAGCCAACTGCTGGCCCCTTGGGTTCCGTTGCCCTATTCCAAATTTCCCTACTTTCAGCTCACCGTTCTCTCTTGTGCCTAGTTTTGCATTGAAGTCTCCCATTAACACCGTATATTGAGTTTTGGAGGAATGCATGGCTCTAGATATATCCTCATACATTTCCTCCACCTCCTGATCGGGGTGTGCCGAGGTTGGTGCGTAAACCTGTATGACCTTCAGCGAATACCGTTTGGTGATTCTGAGTATAAGGTACGCAACCCTCGTCGACACACTCTCAATCTTTACAACGTTGTTAACGAGAGACTTGTGGACGATAAATCCGACACCTCCTTGGGACAGATGGTCGCCCTCCCGGTAATAGAGCAAGTTGCCGGATTCGAGGATTACCGTGTCCTCCCCCTCTCTTCGGACTTCGGATAATCCTATAATATGCCAGCGTAACTTGTCTATCTCTTCTTCCAGCTCCACAATCTTCTCGTCAGTCCTCAGGGTGCGTGCGTTGTATGTTGCCAGGTCGAGTCGTCGTAGGTGGCAACCGAACCTCCACCGGAGATTCTTAGCACCCCCTGCCCCGCCGTTACCATGGTCGCCACCGTAGCCAGGAATAGCGGGGCCGCCGGGGACTAGGGGCCGTTTATTATTGTCATTGCTCATGGGGGGTATATTGCCATAGTTGCCACGCTTGGCGAGCGGGTTGGCAACCGCAGTTTTTTTATTGTTATTTTGGCTATTATCAGGAAGATGCTGCTGCCCATCTCCTGCCTGTTTCCCTTTGTCGCCTTTTACGACACCCACGGGAAGATATGGGGTAGTGGATATTCTTAACCGCCACTACACGACCAAATATTAAATATTATTTAATGTTATACAAATGTAAAAGTAAAGTCGATCTGAAAACGTCTAATTAGTAAGAATAGCAAAACAAGTGGTTTTCAAAAGGAAAAAAAACGCCGGCGCTATACGGCGGCGGATTGAAAAAAGACTATTTATTAGCGAACTTTTTTTTATGCAAGAACGGTTTTGAATTGTTTCAAGCAAAAATAAACCTTATACGAAATCACAAGAGCACATGGTACTTCGTACGTCTATTCGGCCATATGATAGTAATAAGACGGCAGTTCAAGTTAAAAAAATGTTATCAACTCCTAAAAATTTCAAATTTTCAAAATATCCAGAAACGAAGCTGCAGGCATGATTTTTAAAAAGACACGACTCGCGTGTCATACGCCACACACAAAAGTAATCGATGGCACGCCTGGCGTGTCACTCGCACTGAACCGGATAATTAGAAAATAAAAAACTGCGGTTGCCAACCCACCTGCCAAGCATGGCAATTATGGCAAAATATCTTTTATGAGGCAATCTGTGTGGAGGCCTATGTTCAGCATTGGTAATGGTAAAGATGGGAAACGAGCTTACAGACCACGAGATGATAAAGTATGCTCTATACATATCAATATATATTCAATCAAGAATTAAAATGCAGATGCGTCGCTTGCTTGAGGATGCTTGAAGACTAAAGATGAAATGTGTATAGATTTTTCGATTAGTCGTTTTAAGGTTAGCCATTAATTATGGACCCGAGATACGATACGATATAATTTTTACTGATTTTGCAAGATTTTGAATTCTGTTCATAGATTAATAAACAATTGTTCTTGTAACTTACGAACAATTGAAATATATATATATATATATATATATATATATATATATATATATATATATATACTAGCTCGCCAGGCAGACGTTGTTTTGCCCTCTCCGACGACCTTTTGTGCTATAAATCCTTAAATTCGTAATAAAAAATATTGAGGGTCATTTATAGGGATAAAAACTATCCTATCTCTCAAGTTGGACCAAACTGAACGCAGTGTGCAAAATGTTATTGAAATCAGTTCAGTAGTTTGGGAGTCCATCGCCGACAAACAACGTGGCACGTAATTTATATATATATATATATATATATTTCAGTGCGATAAATAAAACAGGTCATTAATTTACAAAATTTAATTTCTCTTCCTGACGTCGTAATTCCTAGGCTAGATAGTTGCAATGTTCTTCTTTGTGTAAGTACTGGTAACACCATAACTGTAATTCTCTTCTAAGTAGAATTGCTACAACCTTGAGAGCACAATAACAACCTAATGTTGGAAAATATGTAAGTTAGAGAATTTTTGTAATGTCTCTATAATATATTCCAACCCTCAAGATGTGCCATTTACAATCAGTAAAATAAACATACATGTTTAAATGGCAAGATTCGCTAAACGCTAACATTATGTATGTCAATAGTTTGTTGAAGCATCATAATAAATGGTAGGGATAAAATTATGAAGCGTCTTATTTAATCTGTCAAATTGCTAAATCTGAATGGAGACACTATTAAAAATTTCTTTTCGCGTTTCGCGCGTAAATGAAAAACATTTTTTAAACATTTAATAACAAGAAGGAATGTCAGCGTTTAAGATAGCTTACACTAACTGTTTACATTAGAAATCGATTCGAACAACTTTATTTGATGGTGGAACAGTTTAATGATTCAATATATACAGAGTCCATTAGAACACGAGTAAAAACTTCAATGTTGGCATCGAAAATTATTGCTACGAAGCTCGCGCCTAAACTTTTAGGTACAAGATGAGTCTACTTAAGTCTAGACTCTTTATACTAATATTTACAATTTCAATGAATAATAATAAAGTTGCAATCATTATAAGTTTAAGTAACATCGCGTCATTATAAACGAAATAACAAATTTATTCGAGATTTTATATACACGCAAGATTACAAAATCACAGAGATGTGTGCACGTGAAATGATGTACTTATAATATGAGCATATGATCATAATGTAGGTACAACCAATGGCAAGAATTAAAAATTGACAATATCACACGTGGCTTATGATTTTAGACATTAAATTAATATAAAGTAATAAATAGTTACATCAATTTTCATGTATTTCTTAATTTTTTAATAATAACGTATAGTGGTCTGCGATTTGCCTATAGTATTTAATATACAACGACAATACTTAGAAAATTATTTGTTCGATGTTTACTGCGCTTACTCGCAGCTTTACCCGTAAACGCATGCAGCTATTTGTTATGATATAATTTCTAATTTATAATTAAGTACACAGACGCCTCAATTTAATAATGTATACTTATATTTTTAAAACAGTTTTTTGTTTTAATTTGTAGAAATCTGATAAAGTTAAACGTGATAATACCTCACACCAACAAATAAAAAGATAGAACACTACGTACATATTCAAGTGACACCAAAACCATGTTCAAATTATGATATTGATATTTCATCATTTGTAACTAACAACATGGTTTTCGGTGCATGAGTGCATGAGTGCGTGTTCTTACAATAAATTGAGCACGATTACGGCGTCACTTGAAACGTACATAGTGTTTTGTCTATCTTTTTAAGTGGGTCTGAGTGAAATACACTTATATATTAAACAAACCCATTATTACGTAGGATATGCCATAATGTTTCACTCGCATCTATTACATTTCGATATCACCTTTAAAAAAGAATCAACACGCTTGTGTTTAACACATCTCATTCTGAATAACGATATTCATCAGAATTAAATAGAAATTTACATAGCAGCGAGTAAGTTTTACATAAATTGCCATTTTCACAACCGAAATTAAATATTTATTGGGTACAGTCGCCAACACAGTTGTTATTTGAAGTGTGCTCTCTTTGTTCTAAGATAGAATCGGTTAATTGCACTTTTTTTAAAACTTGTAACGACTATGTTGATGGTGTACTGAAATATAACTTAATAGCTCACTGGCGTCGTAAGAATTATTACTAACCGCATTTTTTGAGGCTTAAGTATGGCGTTGCGAAGAGTAATAATTTTATATTAGCCTATATGAGTCCGATTGTCCGTTGCACAACACTTCACTCTGTGTCCCCTTCCACCTTCGGAGAGGGGAGACGGGGCTTGAGGGATGCAGAGTTCGTTGTTAAATCCAACGCTGGCTCCTGACATGCTAGATTGAGGTTTGCATTGGTTTGAGGCTTCGGGAACGGCGGTCCCATTTGGCTGGGTATCGAATCTGGTTCGGGCAGACAAGTGTAGTTTGGTGGAGTCCAGCAATCAGTGCTGGAAGGTTCAGGCTTCATTCCCGATGCGCTGAGGTACGAGCATGCCATCATCTGAAAGGAAAAAAAAGCTTGATTATAATTTTATAATATAAAAAATATTTGAAGGTATTTATAAACAAAATGGAATATATTATTATTTTGAGGTCATCATCATCATCATTACAGCCCTTCACAAGTGCACTGCTGAACATAGGCCTCCCACAAGGAATGTCACAAAGCACGGTCGTGAGCCACCTGCATCCATCGACTTCTTGCATGTCTCACCAGGTCGTCACTCCATCTAGTGGGGGGTCACCCTACACTTCGCCTACCGGTACGAGGCTGCCACTCGAGAACCTTTCTATTATTTTTATTATTTTGAGGTGTTCGAGAGGAATTCGAAAAATCTTTACGTTTAGCAAGCGGGTTTTCGATCGCGTATTAAACTTTTGTACTATAAACAAGTGGTGAAATTAAAAATTTTGTACAACCGAATTCAATATAAATTATTAAGGATAACTCAAAAATTATTGGTCAGACCTTGAACAAATTTATATGAGACCACATGAGAAGCACCAGCTTTCAAATAAAAAAGGAATCATCGAAATCGGTTCACCAAGAAAAGAGTTATGAGGTAATAAACAATCGAGGTTGAATTGAAGTCGGTAGAAAATGAACCTCATTATCTATTTGGTTAGTTTGCTATACAACTGATGTTACTGTCGCTTCCCTTAGCGGGCTAAAATGGCTTTATATGGTGTTAATAGTCTGACTACAATACCATCACACGACAGATACGATAGTAAATATTTGGGATATAGTTCAAAGCTATTATAACTATTATACTAAGTGTATCAATAGTTCAAGGCGGAGGAAATGAAATCGGTTTGCACACAAATAAAGCAAACAATTCAGTAAATTTCGTTCTCCGCAGTCAATAAAGTAACTTTCGCCGAGTCACAGACGCCATTCGCCAACGTTAAAGATGAGCTTTACGTATATTACTTGTGTAATCTCCGAGAGAGTAGATTGAAGTAAAACAGAGCTTACATAAATAATGAAATATGTAGTATTATGAGACGGGAGGCCTAAAGAATTCGCGAGTGGGGCTCCCTAATCACGCTAATGGCCAATGCGCAGCGCCCCCGCGGAGGAGGCTTTCACGCTAATGCGGAGTTGGCGCAGGAGTAGTTCAGTGCTAAATCGTATCACACGTCTAACGCCACCGTCTCCAGCTTCTGCCCGTTGCTTGGCTTTTACACTAAGTACATTTGATATTTATTGAAGAAATTGATGTTAAATATTAATCGTATTTCTTATTACTTAACTTCGCAAATATACGTATTAGAAAGAGCGCGCGTTATTTATCGCTTTCAATATCATTCCTTGAGATTTATACTATAGCTATAATATAGGAGAATTGTATTTTATAGTTTAATATATTTATGTTAATGCACTTTCGACTTCATTTAATTTTTATGAGAGTAAAATACATCTATATAACTACGACGAAAACTTCTTGATATTCCAATGGGAACATTAGGTTCATAACTATCACAATCAAGAAATATTTCAAGGTACTGAGATTAATTGGCAAACAATCGATTGATATCATAATACTGTAATGACAGTTTCATAGTTTATGTCACGAACAAAGGTCCGGACCTACATAGGCAATAGTTTGCGGAAATAGCTGTGCGGTATACGGAGTGTTCTAACAATGAATTGTAACTTTAATATTTATTACACTTGATGAACTCTGCGCAAGTTAGTGCAAGTAATATAACCTGAGAAACGTCTACAACGAATAAAGAGGCGCTTGCATTGTGAACTTGTATGAAAAAGACGTACGAGCTTATATAATTTTAAAGCTCGTATTCGCCCTCGTCTTTAAAACAATGTACGGTTTAATTAACTCGACGTCGTTCAGCAACGTTAGAGTGTATAGTGCATAATTAAACCCTTTACGTAAACGTTTTGGTTAATATGTTTAAGCGTCGGTATTGCTTTAGGAGACCTAAACTCTCCTATGAGAATAAACAATCGCTGGAGGCGGCGCACTGGACGAGACCCGCCGCACAAATGAATTAGTGGTGTTATATCCCCTCCCCAAAAACCTCCGCCCGCCGTCGCGTCGTGGGTCATGTTGCGATTAAATTATAATTAGGCGCCAGGCAATTGTTTCGCAATCGGGCCAGGTGGCTAGGTAAATTAAATAGCCGTGTAGAGTTTCCAATTACGCTCGCGCGGTCGCCGCGGAATACACGCTTATTGTCGAATAATATAAGGGGCGGACGATATGAGGATCTCGCAACTGATTAATTATTGCGCGCCGCACTGGCGAGTGTTACGAGTAAGAACTGTTCAGGAAATAGTTGCTACGTGATTGATACACTAGAACGGCAGGGTCGACGCGAACCAGGTGTAACGCGATATTAATTACGATCAGTTAGAGATCGCCACGTTATAAATCACGCGCTCGTCTAGAGCCTTAACGTATTCGCCATGAATGAATTCAAACGTGCCGCGATAATTGCATGCCTAATTACTGGCGGTGAGCTGTCTAATTTATCACTGTCGGATTATGAATCGGGAATGGCGTTAATTAAACATGCATAATATTTGTGGAGGCGACGTATCGGGCGCGCCGCGGGCTACGCGAAACAATTAGGTTTCAAACTACTACGGAGGCTATTGAAACTTGCCCGGTTGGACGTGTGCCCCAACTCTCTGCGGATGGAACGGGGGACGGTAGCGCGATTACAATGAAAATTATCCACTTGTGGCCGCGTAACTTTGTGTTGATTTATCCGCGCCGTGTCTCGTTTGTGTTGTGATTTAGACGCCCGCTTTGTCGTTACGGTTGTGTTGAGGTTTTGGTTACTGCAATGAAATAGCAATGTCTAATGAAACAGAATTTCCTAAAATATTTAGTATAATAGTGTGTCGACCTACAAAGTATATTCTTGAATTGGTACATATATTCACTCTCACAAGGTAGGCTTCTTTTCTATTTAGCAGTGCGTCTAGATTGATACCACACCTTTTCCTATTTCTGTTGTCAAACAGCGGTGCAATGCCATGTTCCGACTTGAAGGGAGGAGCCGGTGTTATTATAAGCTATAAGGCGTTTAATTTTGTTCCTCAGGAAAAGCGACCCGTGTGCGCATCGGCTTCACCACCATCGGGGGAATTCCTGTTTACCCGTACACCAAGAGTATATTTTGTGTCTATTTATATATCCCATAAATTTACTCCATTACACTTTGTATGTAAATATCTATATATCTATATTTTATATAAATATCCGCGCCTTTGAGGTGCCTCAAGGGCTTTACTAGCCGCACCGCAAACGTATACATAATTGCTGATATTTCTTGATACATACCTATGTGCTTTTGGATTTTTAACAGAGCGGGTCCACTGATAAGTGAAGCTGGTGGATGCACGAGTACTGTCGTGTCCTCAAGGTGAAATAAAGCCTTTGTCTGAAGTTACACTAACTATCAGGTTGGATCGTTTATAACTAATAGCACAGAATAAACTAATAGTAATATTATACAAAAAAAAAATAGATGGTAATATTTTAAATTCAGGCTTTAAGTCCCATTTGCCTCATGTCGGTCTGGGACTTATGGGTCCCATGTTTATGCCAGCTGTCGTAAAATGCGACTAACGTAATGTTGTGTTTGTGTAGGCGATGGGCTAGGCACCTATCACATCTTTCACAATTTTTCATATGAACCCATGTTCTTAGTTAAGCGTGCAATATATATATAGCAGTCTAAAGCTTGGTAGGCGAATTGGCAGTGACGGTACCACATGCCTTGCGCCATTGACGCTGCTGACCTTCGCCCTTCTGAATGTTACGCTATCATTTCTGGCATTTACGCGATGGTGCACCGCCATCTATCTGAGATCATCGAAGCGATATGCTTTCATTTATATGTATGCAAAAGCGATTTGTGATAGATATTTTAAAATCCAATAAATTACAGTTGACTTTTGTTTGGAAACAATCGAGTTTGTGGTCTAAGCGAAAAGTCTATAGTGGTACATTTTTGTATTTTTTTTAAATAACATATTCTCTATTTTAAATCCAATTAAAATTTCCTTAAAACCATCTAGCGTTGCAAAAATTCAAAACTCATCAGAAAACATACGAACACTACATGCATTGCATGCAGAGACCGGTTAAAATAACAAAAATAAATGTTTTTACATCGCTTCCAACGAACGACGTATATGGGAAAATTGTCATCGTAGGCAGTTTTTATTAAGAAAACTATTTAAATTACGGCGCATGCTAAGCCATTAGTACGCAAGTGTTAAATTTTACAATGTAACACACATAATATACAACGATATATTTCCAATGAAATTACACGAAATCGCACCAACAATTTTGATAGTTGGGCAGTTTCTTAACAAACAGGGATGTAAACAAGCATAAGGAATTATTATCACAATTCAAATAGTATACGACTTCGCGCGCACAATAGTCCATTGGCATTCCATTTATTAGTTGATCAAACATAGCCGGCTCATCCATACGATAAAGCTGAAAACTCACTATGTGTATTTACAAATTTATTTATATTTAAGTATATCTGTGAAATATAATTATTTATAGAACTGCTTTATTAAAGAAAAATATTAAAATTTTATAAAACTTATGTAGAATTGACACATGTACTTATCCCACCTCACCTTCTTGTTTCTAAAGAAATTTTACTTAAATATCCTGACGATGAAACCGATCGATTTTATACTGATTAATAAATGAAAATATAAGTGAAACAAGTACATGTCAAACAAGTCAATCCTACATTATCTATTATTTATCTATCTTAAATTTTTGTATGTTTTTATAATAACGATAGATAGTGGATATATCGTCCAACAGTTGGTACACCGTTACACAAAACGATGACTGACAATAATATGATTAGTTAGGTATGTCGCGTGTAGACCCTATTTAATATTATAATATTTAATAATATATAAAGTACCTTAAATTTCATATTACGGTTTAGATCAGCAGTGGCAGCACCGAAATTGTTCACAGAAATTTTAAGTTTTGGATCATTAGATGTTTGGCGGTGTGCGAGGATGTCTCAAAAATGAAATATTTCGAAGACTTGTACAGTTGTCCGTTAACAGGCTAAAACCCAGAAATTATAGGACAGCAGTAAGACGTAAGTAAGCTGTTGCTACTTTATTACATAAGGTAGATAGATGTGGAGACACCCTAAACGTAAAGATTCCAATCCCTGCCGGCATCGCGGGTTTCTATTGAAACAACAGCAATATTTGTACAGGTCCAGAGGCGGCCGATCGGTGCGACAATCGGACCGACTTTCGCGACACAATGCTACTCTAGTCCTAAATAATTTAATAGTTTGAGGCGGTGGCGCGTGGAGCGGTCTGCAAACAACCGGCCGACTACGTACAATATTGTCGCGTCCGTCTCTACAAGTGCCAGTAGTCGGTACGTACTCGTATCTAGTTGTTTACCGGTAATTTGTGCTAGTGGTCATTTGTTACAACTATAATCACCACGCTTGGCGGGCAGATTGGTGATCGCTATACCAGACGTCTCGCATCTTTGATGCTGTATCTTGTAGTATTACGTACGTAAAATACACTTCAACGATCTGGGTATTTGACGTCTTGAGTAAACGCTGGTTATACCAACATCTGGTGAATGACGTAAGATCTTTCTGGCATTTCACATACTAGTGTCTTAGGACGCGCATGGGACTAAATGGAATGATAATTTCCTTATGCTGTCACCACTTGTTATTTATATATATATATATATATATATATATATATATATATATATATATATATATATATATATAATATTCTACGTGGTAGAGCCATGCTGCAGCTATATTATAGTTGTAGAACGAATGGGTCGGCTCGACCGGGGAAGGACCACGCTCTCACAGAAAACCAGCGTAAAATAGCAGCTTAACGCTGCTGTGTTTCGATGGTGAGTGTAGAAAATCGGAGACCCTTTTTACTGGCAAAGAGGCGTTCCATCTTAGTCCTCACGGGTAACAACGCATCTGCATCTTGAGTCTTTATTGAGGATAGATGTAGATGTCTATGGGTCACAGTAACCACTTACCATCAGGTGGACTGTGTGCTCGTTTGTCACCCGATCCTATAAAAAAAAATATTTTTTTGAAATGAAACATTATAACAACAGAATTAATAAAAAGATTTATATCTTTCTTCGTGAATAAGATAAGAGTTTATGTAGAAAACTTGTTTTACATTCAAGCTTAATCACTTAAACTATGTTAGACAAAGTGTCATTTTTGAAAGGGAAATGTGAAAAAAAAACACATGCAAATATTAGGAAATGACGTCAAAGCATTTCGTGAACACGATACACGCGACAAGCAAACGCTGAACACGCTGAACACTGAACGCTGAGCTACTTCTGTACAGAGCGTTTAAAATTGGGGACGATTTACTTAAAAATGTTGAGTTTTTACGGTCCGATAACAGATAGTTTTGATCAGGTATATTTATTAACAAAAAACAAAATAACAAGTAAAATTTTTAAAAATCTTGTATTTAAGTTTTTTAATATACCACTTTTTATATTCTTACATTGTCATCCGATTCTGAACTATGTTCAAAATTTCAAGTCTCTAGCAAGTTAGTTTAAAATCAATTACTAAATTCGACCCAAACAAACATATACGAAAGCGAGTTAATAAAATGTGGTATAAAACGTGGGAAATAATAAAAGATAAAAAAAATCTTTTCTAGATAATATTAGCCTGAGTTTTCAGAATTGGACAACTTAAATATAGCATACAATATTTTTGATACTTGATACATATAGTCAAAGGAATGACACCTTACATTCCTAACTCAAAAAATAGCTTAGTATTTCTTGCATCAACAGACATATAAATTGTTAAAGTTATAACAAATCTAACAGTAACTGAAAAAAAATGAATCGCATTGTCCTTGAGACAAACAATCCGTCTAAAGCGGCGCAGTAAATTTATTAGAGTAAGATACGGCAAGGTAAGATAGGAGTGATAGTGTGGGGCGGGCGGCGATAAATTAGGGCGGCGAGGGCGGGGGTCGCGTGCGCGCCGGCCGTTTGTCGCTTC